GTGTTTTGCCTTACTTGCAGCTCGATCTTCGAGGGCGGATCCTGGCGTTTGGAGTGACTTGTCGATACTTCGCCTAGCAGATGGATTGACGACTGTGACATCTATAAGGATGGATTTGGTGCAGAGTTCCTCTTCTTTATCTCCTGCGTGTAATCCTGGGGGGATCACTAAATCCATCTTGTAGAGCCCTCTTCCCCTACCAGTGCCTGTAGTAAATGGGGAAGAGTCTTCAACAGCGATTGGCATGTGGCATTCGCGTAATGTCTTTAACAGCACGCGAACCATCCTATTGTGCAGGAAGGTTGAGGCGCCGGTCTTCGCGCAGACCAGGGAATGGGGTCGGCTCAACCGTTCCATACACGGTGACAATGCACCTGCGCTGCAAAGTCTGCCTGTATCGTAGTCAGTTCGGTCGTGACTCCCCAGTACACGACCGATCGATTCTCGATAAAGGTCAGGTAGCATCCGTTCATCCATCGAAAGCCCCTGCGTTGTCAGCCATGATAGAACCCCCTTGTCTTTTGCTTCCTCCAAGCGAATCAAGGCTCTCTTCTTTGAGGTTCCTGGGATCCTGCTTTTTTCAAGCCTGTTACTACCATATGGCGGACTGCTGCATGAAGGGGCTTCGACAGGACGGCTTGAGCTCCGAAAACTTGATAGTACCGGCCAAATTCATTTCGCCCGCATGTCGACGGAGATGGTGGTTCCTCGTCAGGGTTGTCGTCTCAATTTTGTCTCTCGGCTACTACCTTCCCGGCCTCCATGAGATAAACTCCTCGAAGAGTGGGAGTTAAATCGTCAGATGTAACAAGTTTAGTCCATGTGTGTGTGTGTGTGTGTTTTAAGGTTGCGATGGGGTAGTAGCAGCGAACTCGGCGTTATCTCTCCGGAGCTCTTCAAGAGAGAGGAGGGGTGGATCTCTTCAAGAGAGAGGAGAGGTGGCCCATGGCAGCGGTTTATGATGTTGCTGTTCTTGCGACGACGCCGACGACGGCACGGGGATTCAACGCCCCGAGGGTGGACGGGCCTTTGGGCTTCGGTGGCGCTCTCGGCACAATACGAATCGCTTTGACCGCGATATCCACGGCCTTCCTGTTGTGATGGCTTCGCCCTTCCCCGCTTCGCCCTTCCCCACCCCCCGCCCGTGGAGCTGCTGTGGTCAATGACCTCAGGACTTCAGATGAGTCTTGTGCGGGAGAACACCCCCCCAAACCTCCGGTAATTCGTCCCACTAGGGGTGCGAGGCCCAATGATCAAATGGCTGCGACAAGCAACATGTTGAGGAACGCACCAAGACTTACGAGCCCAATGCTTGTAACAATGTGCCCATGTAAATGAGACTGGCGAGTGTCCTACCGTAAATGACACAAGATAACACACCCCCTGGACCGATTTTCAAATCTCGGTTTCTCAACAACAGAAAGAGTCACGACGCCGAAAACGGCGGAGTTGGAACCGTCTCGTCGAGAGCTTTCCAAAAATGTATCGTTTCGTTTATGCATCCTCTTCGTCGTGGAGTAATCGAGCGTTGAAAATCGGTCCAGGGGGTGTGTTATCTTGTGTCATTTACGGTAATCCCCTCCCCGCAGGTCTGTCCCCCCGCTCTTGTCTACAAGCAAGTCCAGACGTCCCTCGCGGAGCAGCTCATGAAATACGGCAATGATCTCCCCAGCCCCTTCCATGCACCTTGCACCCGTCCCTTATCCGTGTGGCACCTGAGACTTTCAGATCACCCGGAGCGCCCAGGAAGGGTGCGCGCCATAATGAATGCCTTGACCAGGAACTACCCGGACATGACAACCATGCTGGCGCCGGAGGCCACTGTAGAGCAGGTGCGGGGTGACACAGTACATGCCGTTCATTGTGCGGCCTACGTTACGCTCGGGTGCTGCTTTTGTGTTGACGTGAAAAGAGAAAAATCACAGGCAATACCATGGTTGAATACCATGGTTGCAGAGAGGCTGAAACAAGCTGGTGGTCGTGGGTCGGCTGCTCTTGTGGCTGGCTCTCCTGCGCGGCTGTGCGAAGTAAGCACACACACCTTTACAAGGCGAAACCAAGAACATGGCGCCTGAAGCAGCCGTCGTGGCCGTGCCCTCGTTACACTCCTGCCCTCTCCTAGCACGACCACGCGCGTCTCCATACAACGCACGCACGACGCGTTCTCATTTCCGCCTTCCCGACACCAGTTATCCGCCATTCCATGCCCCAGCGCCCCAGCGCCCCAGCCATCACCCCCGAGAATATATTTTCTATCGAGGGGTCAGTAAGAGACACGATTCCAGTGCATATGTATTCCAACGCAAGGGTACGTACGTGGGCGCTTTTCCCTGTGCCAGGTGCTGCGGTTCCACGACAAGCCTCACCTCGACAAGATCCTGCAGCTGTGCTCGGACTCGGAGAAGGCGGGCCGAGCGGCGGAGGCTAAGGCCTCTGCTTCCGCCTCCTCGAAGAGCAAGGCGTCGAGGAGAGGGAGTCCCGCCGCTGACAGGCACGTCTCGCCGTACGCCGGGATCGTTCAGATCGACCCGGACACGGCTGTGATGCCGGCGTCTCGCGCGGCCATCTTCAGGGCGGCTGGGGCGGCGTGCTTCGCCGTGGACGAGGTGAGGTGTTGAGATGGTAACCTCCAAGACACTGTGGGGGTAGAGTCGACCCCCCTCCCACCCGTACCGCTCCCTTGGTTGGTTCGTTAAAAGCAAGCAATCCATCTAGTGGGAGCCGACTTCGTTTGGTCGTGATTGGCTAGGACACACAGCCAAGGGCAAAGCCAGCGCTCAAGGGCAAGCAGGACAACGGTAACTGTACTCGAGCGTGATCCACCCCTTCCGTGTCCTACGCAGCAGCCAGCGCCTGCGATCAACCCCGTCTTGTTTCGCGATGATTTTCTTCCCTTGGCACGGCACGCAACAAGGTGATGTCGGGAGGGGCGGCGAACGCGTTCTGCTGCGTCCGGCCTCCCGGGCACCACGCCGAGCCGGACAGGGCCATGGGTTTCTGCTTCTTCAACAACGCCCCCATTGGTGCCCTCCACGCGAAGGCAAGTCGGGCTTCGGACACCTCGAAGTAGCCACCATTGGCGCTACCCTTGAGTGCTGGTACATGAGTCGTTGGGTCTGGTGGTGTTTATCTCTTCCGTTCGTGGAAGTGATCGGTCGCGATGGTCATCGGTGTCGTCTTCAGCGATCGGCGCCCTCCATACCCACGGTCGAGGCAACGCCTCACTCTTAAGAACACCATCAGGACGACTTGCGTAAAGGTTTTCTCATGAGGACGGCTTTCGATCTAGGTGTGACCTCCGTAGGCGGTGTTTTTCAAGTGTAAAAACGCAAACCAAGGCTATCGCCCACGGAGGACAAGCCTATTCGATCGCTGCAGTCGAAGGCGGCGTGGTTGGCCATTGGCGCCCTCCCGCCACGCGCGCAGGCGAGCAGACCTCAGCGGGAGCAGCGCTCGTACCATCAAATGACCGCCGTTTCCGAGAAAATACGTGTCTGGGCGACTCACCCTACTGTCGTCTTTGTTGTGGTGGCTTGCGAAGAGATTACGGCGTTGCTGCCGATGGGCCCTCGGGTTGCCCACTGCCGTCGCCCGCGGAAAAAAAAAAAACGGTGGAAAACGTTTCGCAATCATATTACATCGGGACATGCGTTACAATCGTTCGGAACCCTGTTTGTTTTTGTGGTGCAACAGGCGGCGCACGGCGTCGAGCGCGTTGCGGTAGTCGACATCGACGTTCACCACGGGAACGGTACCCAGGCGCTGTTCGAGGAGGACCCCACGACGCTCTACGCCTCCACCCACCAGGTAGGTGCATGTTGTGTGCGCCCTTGTTGTTGGCATCGACCGCGCTAACTAACTGGTTGAGCAATGAAAATACACAGTCTCAGTGCGGCTGAAAACAGAAGTCTCTATAAGGCTACCATGATCTGTGATCCTGCGATTGGGCATCATGGGAATGTATGTATGTATGTATGTACGTATGTATGTATGTTTCTTTTTTTCTGTCTTCACCTCAAATCAGCGCTCACAGCACTAGTGCCGTCTGCTCCAACCCGTGGTCACACAGAAGAGCCCCTCTCTATCCTCCTCTCCTGCGGTACCTTGCCTTCGATTTTGAATGCTACAAGAGTTCAGCACTCTCTTCCCTCTGTCTACACCCGACCTAGCGCTGTCCACTAGAGAGTCTTTGCTAGATTTTGGCATTTAGCAACTGACATGCGGTTTAATATGAAGACAACAACAACAACAACTAGGCCAAGAGCAGAAGCGAGAGAAAAACTCACATTGCCAGAAAAGCTCGCTTACGCCGGGATTCGAACCCTTGACCTGACCTCTAGAAGGTTTCGAGGATACCAACTAGACCACCGGAGCGTATGTATGTATGTGTGCAAGAAAGAGGCCGTCACGGAAACTTGAGGCACCGAGGCTCCTGGTGTTTTGTTGGCAAGGTGTTCGGTGTTCGTTGCTGGCCGGTCCCCTTGGTCGCCAGGATTGGAGGCCATGTTTCCCGTCGAGACTCGAAAGCCTTGTCGTGATGTCAGCAAAGCTGAACACAGGCGTTTGGTTGGGGTGCACGTAGTCGCGCGCGAGCACCTGCACCCGAGCGTAAAAAAGTCGACGATTGTCGAAGAAGGTCAAGAAAGATGTTTCTCGGCTCATTACACAAGTTGAACGTCTTATGAGTGGGCAGAAACTCATGCTGTCGTCAACGTCTCAGTCTTTAAGTCTCACGTCTTGTGTATCTGACAAACTGTAGGCGTGTTGATGAATTTCGACGTGTTTGTTTTTTCTGTGTTGGCGAGTGGGCCGGCGGCGCTGTTGTACAATAGCAGTTGTCGTACGACACCGCTGTCATCGTGGTTCCTTGGGGTGAAACAGCACCGGCGGGGGGGGGGGGG